GGTTCTGAATAGAAATTTAATAGTGTTGTGATGCAAGTTAATCTTCAGTCCCTCTGATTTCTCTTACTGAGGATCACGATAGCTTAACTACCTGACATTTTCGGTTTTATCACAACGTTTTCCGATTTGTTTCTAACCGCAGTTAGTGACTATATACTTAACAGAACAAGTAAACAACGTGGTTTTTGTTTTGATGAGAAAGTCAAGCTAAAAGTACAACTCAGCCTTCGTTAACTGTTGACACACTAAAGTTTTATTGAACGTGACTGATGAACTGCAGCCTTCCGCTGTTAAAATTTATTCATCTATCCTAACAAAAAACGTTTAAATTGTCTTAGCTTATTATACTATGGAGTTTAAAATTGAAAGGTGGTTTAAATGGTACTAAGCAGCTTCAGGCAAACGTGAAAGAAAAAAATATTTCCCAAATGAATTTCCTGTGTACTCATAAGACAGCTTTTATATATTCGAAGATCCGCACGCAGGTTCATCCAGGATAACTCAAGTCACATGCTATATCAAAAAATATTTCAGCTAATATTCAGTTTATGGGTACTTAACTACAAATCACTTCACCACATTATTATTATTATTATTATTATTATTATTATTATTATTATTATTATTATTATTATTTGTCCTTTGGGTTCCAAGTGGAACATAGGGACTCACTAGCATGTCTCCATTCCACTCTGTTCTCTGCAATCTTTTGAACCTGGCTCCACGACTACCCACAAGCTTTCATTTCTTCCTCACACCATCTCCTCAAGGTCACCCTCGCCACGGACGCCCAACTCGTCGCTTCCCATTTGGGTTCCACTTCAGTGCCTGTCACGTGATGTCCCCGAGTGGTCTTCCCAGTGCATGCCCAATCCATCTCCACCTCCTTCTACATACTTGTTGAGCGATCGGTTCTTGGTTGGTTCGCTGCCAGACAGCCAGAGTTCCTTGTTGCTTATTCTTACTACTCTGGCTATCTGAGCTTCAGTAACGAGCCAGCGTAGGCAGCTGTTGATGAATGTCTGCAGTTTGTTGGAAATGTTTTTCGTAATGCGCCAAGTCTCTCAACCATCTTGTTCATGCTTTATGCTGAGTGCAGAAGATTTCCACACTGGTTTCACGTCAATGAAAACCCGTCCTGCCTTTCCGATCCTGGTTTCCACGTTCTCGTCTGTGCCACCTCTAGTTGAAACGGTGCTGCCTCATCTAGGTAGGTGAAAGAGACTACTTCCTTAAGGTTTCTCCCGTTGGTGGTGATTACAGCTTGCTGTTGTTGTTGGTGGTGTTGGTTGGGTATCTTCACCACCTCTGTCTTCTCTACGTTCATCACTTGAAGTTCCATCTTCGCTGCACTGCCTCTTCTGCCTACTGGTTGGATTTCGCCTGTAGATCTTCAAGTTTGTGTGATATGAGACACAAGTCATCATCGGCGAAATCCAAATCTTCTAGGATCTTTTCCCCGGTCCAGCGTATCCCCCTCTTCTCGCTCCTCACTGTTTGCTGCATGATCCAGTCCAGTCAATCACAATCACTTCAAAGGCATCACTGGGCTTCCTAGTGTGAATCACTTGGCATGTGGCATCTTCATACAGTTGTTGAATGAGGTTGATAAAGGTTTGCGGTATTCCGTAGTGTTGAAGCAGTTGCCAAATTACTTGTCGGTTGACGTTGTCAAAGGCCTTTTCAAAGTCGATGAAGTTGAGGCAGAGAGCTGACTGCCATTCTGTACTCTGTTCTATGATGATGCGTAGAGAAGCGTTGCAATTTGGTCCGCATATGATTTGTACTTCCTGAATCCAGCCAGCCAGCCTGTTCCGGTCGTAGTTTTGAATCCAGTGCATCCTTTAGTCTCTCCAGGATGATGCGGCTTAAAATTTTGCTTGGGGTGGACAGGGAAAGCAGTATGATCACGCGCCAGTTCTTGCGAGGAATAAGGTCGCCCTTCTTTGCAAGTTTGACAAGATAGCCTTCCTTCCAATCAATCGGCAGCTACCTTTCTTTCCTTCCACACCTTCTGCAATAGTGATGTGAGCGTGTCCGCTGTTGTTCCTGCGTCTGTTCCCTGTGCTACTGGCGGAAAATCACCCAGTTCTGCTGCTTTCCTGCATTTCAGTAGCCTTACTGCTTTCAGGACTTCACTTCTGCTTTTGTCTGAGCTTTTGTGCTCACTGATAGTTCTATGGCAGGGGTGCTGGTGGCATTTCCGGACAAGTTGCAGTTGGTGGTCGATTGAAGTTTTTTGAAGTGGTCAGCCCATCCTCTCCTTTGTTTCTCTTCTTTGCTACTCAGTTTCCTTCATCATCTGTTACTGGTTTCATCTGTATTCATCTCTTCACAGACAGCAAGTAACCTGGTTATTTAATATAGTGTTGTCAGGTCTCGTCTACCTGCATCCTGTTCTATTCCACTTGCCAATGTGTTGTGGAAGTGTCTTTTGCATTTACGTGCATTCTTCTTCACTTCTTTGTTCAGTGTAGTGTTTTATACGTTGTACTCAGTTCCTCTTTACGTTGTACATCCTTGCATTGGTTCCTCTTCTGCTCCACCATCCTCCTCTCCCTGTTCTATCAGCTTCCATGTGTCCATCGACATCCATTCCTTGTCCTGTCTTCTTTCCTCTTCCTTCCTTATACGGTTATGCAGGTTTCTTTCTACATAGCTTTCAAAGAGTTCTAGTATTCATCTTCACAGGTTTCTTCAGGGATGTTGTTCGATATCTTCCATTTTGTCCTGATGGCTGGCTGAGGTGAAGATCTTCTTTGAAGATTAGTCCTTCATTTCAGTTTTTTTGTTCTGAGTGTTGAACTTGAACTGGTGCCGTCTATCACCGACTTCTGTGAAGGCATTCAACTAGATTTTGAAGGTTCCTTGCACTGGACAGTGAGTGGTGTGAACCTGTATCTGCTTCCCTTCTTGTTCTGATCTTGTGTCAAGTAGGCCGCGTCTCCACTTTCTTCACATTGAGTTGAGGTCGATCTGATTTTTAGTGTGTCCCAGTGTCTGGTGGAATCCATGTCGCTTTGTGAATATCCTTGTGCTTGAACACACTACCTGACTCCAATCACCAAATCGTTGAATGCACAGAATTCTGCAAACAATTCTCCATTCTCGTTCATTTCACTGAGTGCTTCTCAACCCATGGTTAGTTCTCTTCCGTGTTGTGTTGTCTGCTCCCAATTTGGCATTCATGTCACCCCACAAATTAGAATTTTGATGCCACCATCTTCGGTGGGATCTTGTCCATTACTGATTACAGTTGTCTGTATAATTCCTCCTTCTTCTCTTCATCTGCATAATTTGGAGGTGCATAGCATTGAGTGATTGTGACCTTCCTTCCTTTTGAGTTGAATCTTGCTGTCATGATCCTGATTGTGGAGGAGATTGGTTGCCACTGTATGAGAACCTTTGATGCTGTTGGGGACATCATGATAGCCACTGCATCACTCAGTGTACTCGTGGTTGTCGTCAGAGTGACCGGAGTAGATTATTGACTCTCCAGTTGACAGTTTTCACTTCCACTTCCATTCCACTTGCTTTCGCAGATTCCTAGCACGTCTACACTATACCTTCTCATCTCCTTTGCAATCTGGGAAGCCTTGCTGGGTTCAAACATTGTGCGGACGTTCCATGTCCCCATGTTTACTTTTGCTTTCACTAAGAGAAGACACATCGGCCAGCTGTCTTCTCGAAGGCTTTCACCAACCGGCGTCATTTCGTCTTCTCGATTCTAGTGAGGAATAAGTTTGTTTTCATTTTTTATATTTTGTTTGTGCCTTTTCTTTAGCGATTGAATTGGTTTTCCGGGTAGGATTGCTAGCCCTATGCTCAATCTTCCTTCTTTACCCGGGCTTAGGACTGGCTAGTAACTGATGAACTAGTTGACTAGGCGAGGTTAATCCCTTCAGTAGGTTATTTAAATTGCCGATCTCCTGAAACTACCAGTTAAGCGTCTTCAGCTCACGAACAAACACTGACCATTCCATAATCGGTTCATAAAGATGATAGTTTGTTCCTCTTCAGTGTCTACAATGCAATATTGTATGTTGCTCATCACTACTTAAATGTGAAAATAGAATCCATTTTATTGAATATTCTTGTGTCAATGTTGAACAACAAAAACCCAGCGCAGAAAGTAGTAGAAGATGCTATGTGGTAACATTGATCAATTCTGGTATTAAATTGTCTGAGTCAATAGGCAGGATGCTCTTGACCCCCGGTTTGTCATTTGCTGGCACTCGTCAGCAAAGCGTTTCTACAGCCACAAGAAGAATATTAATCCTAGGATGACTAAAACGTGTTTGAGGGATAAAACCTAAACCTAACCCTAACCTTAACTGAGAGACTCTAGTACTAAACTGTTAAGCCAGAAATCACCCCTGTAAGATTGAAGCATGTACCCGAATTGGTCATCAGTGGGAAACCAATGTAGCTGTCCAGTCCTCAGTGTTAAGCACCGATCGAATTTTGACGATCCCTTTAGCAGTGTGGTTTGAATGTTAAGTGCCAACAAGCACAAAAGCTTAGTGCAGGGTTTCTTGCTGACTGACTTTAGTCATCTAACACTGATATACATTACACCAAGTGTTGTGTCACCTCATCTATTGGCCACATTACAAACTTTTTTGATGGACTATGATCGGTGCTAAGCACTAGGAATTAGACAGCCAACTGGTCCATAACTCTATAAATTAGTTCCTAAACTTAGCTTTGCAGAAGTGTATGGAAATTTTTACCCAGCTTCCAAGTAGCTTTAGTCATGGAGTAACTCATTTGTTCCATGAACCTAGTAAAATTGGAGGACTTTAACTTTGATAAGAAACCGGTTGACATTAGTAAGCACCTGAAAATTTTATCAATTTTCAAGACTTAGTATCATCAGGCATAAAAGTGAATTTGGTATCACTAGTAGTAGTACTAGAGGCTGTAAGTCAACAAAACTGTAGTTTGAATAATTTAGCAGAACACTGATTCACATTAAACATCTTTTTAAACACTTTTAGTGAACTGGTTGGAATGTTTCCTCCTAAACTACGACCTGAACTTCTACGCAGTAGCGTGAACCAGTTACGCAGTAAAAATCCCGCTGTACCAGGAAGTGGTCTGGTTTCTGTTTGTGAGCAGTTATACCCTCAGTCAATAAACTAACTACCGATATTTCAACTGTTGATCCATACTTCGATGAAGTACGCGAACCAGGATTGCATGCAGGAGTTTTTCCTAAATGCAAAATCCCGTCAAAAATTTCAAAGTTATGCCCACTATGCATGAGAAAATACAGTCCGTTGCTGGAAAAATATAACTGCCTTAAATGCGGTTCTCATGTTTGTCAGAAATGTGCGTATAAAGTTTCACAACCTGATCCAATTACCTTGTGTAAAGAATGTTGGGATATTGCGTAAGTTTTACATTTACGTATTTCACAAATCAGTTGTTACGTTTTACTGTTATTTTTCGAAACTAATGCTAACTGTTTGTTGTGATTACAATCACGTTTCTTCCAACAGATAAGTAATTTAAATCACTAGACTTCGGCGCATAATTAAACAGGAGTAAGTTAATAATCTGAAGACTTGTCAATACTTTCTTATCGGATAACTACTGACCACTTTCAATAGAATGCTAACACTGAGCTATGCAGGATTTCTAGTTAACAAGCTTTTGACTTTTACCTGAGTTAAATGTAGACATGGAAAACTATAAAACAGCCTTAAAAAGTATTTCTTTTAAATATATGAGCATATTTTCTAGCTATCTGCCATGTGTTCTATAAATGTATGAAATAGTAGGTAACACAAACGCTCAATCTTCAGAATTCATTTGTTTGATAACACCAAGTTTCTTATTTATATAAATAAGTCTGTCAGCAGGAAATGTATGCAATCCGATTATATTTTGAATTAAAACTACCTCAACGACCTGTAGTTTTGCAATATTCTCCCTGATATATGAATACACTATAAAGCAATAAATTATCATCCCCCTGTGTTGTGAGACAGATTTTCAAGTTGGAATACGGTGGTAGGGGGTAATTATATATTTGTTGTGGGAATTCTGTGATGCAGAGTTGAAGCCATACAATAAATTGAAATATCGCCCAGAGTGTCCTGTCAGATCATTTTATCAAATTTTCTGAAGAATAATAAACAATGAAGTTTACTTGAAGGAGGACTCTGGTGCAGCTAAATGTCCAGAGTTCAACAAATGTTTAGGAATTGAACCGTCAGCTGGCTTACATTCTCCCCTTCACAACCATGTAAGATAGACCTTGGTGATTCGTTTGAAGTGTGCGTGCTTTGTGCAGCCTGTGGAACTAGCTCTTCAGGAGCAAGTAATTTTGTAAACACAAACTGAAGTAGCCTAAAGCGGTAGTTGTCTTAATGAACCCCGGGTAAGTTGCCGCTTTCAGCTACCTCAGTTAGTATCTACAACAATACTTGCTCCTGGAGAGCTAGCTCCACAGGCTGCACAAAGCACGCACACTTCAAACGAATCACCAAGGTCTATCTTACATGGTTGTGAAGGGGAGAATGTAAGCCAGCTGACGGTTCAATTCCTAAACATTTGTTGAACGCTGGACATTTAGCTGCACCAGAGTCCTCCTTCAAGTAAACTTCATTGTTTATTATTCTTCAAAATTTAGCACTAATACACGGGATTTAAGCCAAATAGTACTCTGGATTTTGAATCGATGGATGCCATGTTCGAGCATCAACGGGAACACTACAACTTACTGGGATGCAAGTAAATTAAGGTTGCGAGTTCTGAGTGAAGGGAAACATGTGAACCGAATGTTACTTCTAGTCACCAACAAGCAAACTATACTGTGTCACGAAATCTGAAGATGATAACTGCATGAAGATGAATCTCAGCCAACTAGAACGATACTGACAAAGACTTTATTTGAGTCTGGATTACAAGCTGAACTGTTTGAAGGAACAGGTTTAAAAATGCCACTGAATATAAAGTTGTTTTCAATGATTTTATGACCGGTGTTAACGATTACAATAAGTTCTAAAGGAAAACATACTTTTCTTTTGTCATTAAAATTGAAAACCAGTCGACATTAAATATTTGATTACTAGAGAAAATTTAAAAGTAAAGAAACACATTAACTGACGCCAAATAGACATGAGACCAAGTCTTGAGAAAAGGCAACTAATAAGGAAAAGCAGGATGAAGTATAATTAAAATTAATGTAAAAATGCATTTCCTGTTATCTTAATGTCTAGTTATAGTTTTCACACTACCCGCTGTCATGAGGTTTTAAGGATGCCTAATCCATTAATCTGAAAAAGGGATAGAAAACGCGAACAAACTCTTATTGTCAACAGAGGCCTATGAAGTATTCAGCAACATAGATTACTATGATTTCCAGTTGATAAAGTGAAGAAATAATTCGACGAATTTATTCTCAAGCTGCACATTCGTATATATATATATATATATATATATATATATATATATATATATATATATATATATATGATATTTAAAGACTGCAGTCCGTGAGGAAAAGTTAGTGAGAGGTTGAAACAACAATAATAGTAGTTATAATAATAATGTTAGTAGTTGATGACGCAAAGGTCGAATGGAAACAAAAAGGGGTGACGTCAGATTTTGAAATCGTTTATAAGGTGCATATAGATTACAAAGCCATGAAAACGTGGTAGAGTTAATAAACATTCGAAGGATTAGCTAACATGAATGAGACAAGTTAACTCGGATAAGTTGAAAATGTTTTGTTAAAAGTAACAATTATTAGGATGATTAAATGAAGTAACCTTGAAGACTATTAAACGCAAAGATTCATCTAGCAAAAGAGGAGTTTTAAAAATTGAAAGTAACGAAATACACCAAGACCAAAATAAGTTAAGATCATAGTAGAGACAAAGACTGTTCATACTTCATTTGCACACAAATGTCAGGCATCAGTTCATAGATAGCCAAGGTCTCTACCGTTCTTATCAGTTGAAGATGGAGGAGACGTGAGATGCTTGAGGGAATTCCATAGACAACCTTAAAATCATTGTTTGTGTCAATCAAGTGGTTTGAATCGATTAGATATTCAAGGATAGGACTTGTGATGCATTTCACTTCACCCTTATAAAACCAGGCGGGAATATATCCTCGTATACTTGTTGACAGCAATCTCCAACTACGGTCGATATAAACCTTGTTCCACAGGAGCAGGTGAACTGGCGCATACATATAATTCAAAGAATTGTTTAGCAAAGAATAAGCACTCAAAAGTTGTTAGATTAAAAGAAACTCAATTCCTTTTTTAGGATGAGTGCATTATGAAAACATTCACTTTCTTTGGACACTGCGTAATCAGTACTTTGCATAGGTATATATCATAAAATAGTATTCTGTAATTGTTTAAATTTTTCTTCTAATTTGTTTTTCATGATAAATGGATGGAATGAATTTTATATTGCTGGCATTACTAGTTTATATTGCTTGAAAATGAGTGTTTAAAGAACTATTGAAAGTTGAAAAGTGGTCATGGATACCAATCATTAGAACTTCCAGAGCCCATTGACAGAAATGAATGAGTTCTAGTTTACAAGCATCACTGTAGCCTGATCAGCTAATGCTGAAAGGAACAGTTAACAGTTTTCTCATTGCTAACATGAAATATGGCACTTCGCAAAAGGGTTTATATGATAATAACTGAAGATGAGAGAAGTGGGAAGTTCATGATCTGTTTGCTTCAAGTTAACCTAAGCTAGGCTTAAACCGATTTCAAAACACGCAACAGAAAATGTACACCGAAAACACTTTCAACCACTTCCGAAAATATATTTAATTGCCAATCAACAATGTGTTTATTGATAGTAGAATGGTCAACTTCGTAAGCATTTTCATGACCTATGGTCAGCATAAATGAAGAAAGAAAAGCTTTACTGTACTCTTATTTGCGTGCAAGCACAATGGTTATTCATTCTTCTTTACTGAGCAATATTTGAGATTTTCGGAATAATTTACTTGTTGGCCTACATTTAAATAAATGTTTACAAGACATACAAGCACTGAGAACTCAGAAATTTTTAACAACTTATAAAATTTGTAAATTATATGGATAATTATTGTAGCTAACTCTGAAAAAAATGTCAGGTTGCAGATTGCTGACGTTTGCTGGAAACAATTCACTCCAGAAAATTCAATATTTTGGCTACCCCGGTGATACTTTTTCATACAGAATACCATTTATATGACTAAGTATTAATTGCTTAGTAATAAAATACTTCTGTATAATATTGACAAGATCTCTTGAAAAGATTTACTTGCTTTCCTTAGAGAATAATTATCAATTCCTATGTAAGAAAACCATTGGAGTTAGTGATTGATTTTCTACAGATACATCATATGATCTCACGTGCCAGTAACTCAAAACTTTGAAAAGAGTACATCGAAAATACATATCATAATTTTATCCACAAAACTGTAAACTTTATATTTTGATGCATTATATGGTATTTATGAAATTCAGCAGCTAAGTAGCACCTGAAAACCATAATATTGATCAATTATATTTATTGAGATCAGTTATTTTAAGACATTGCTCAGATACTATTACCATTGGCTATGACGTGATTGCCTTCAAAATGTTTTTTTACTAATCGGAATCGGTATGGAGAAACTAGCAACTTATTCATGATATTTTTGATAATAATCTATCAAATTATATTAGATTTGTGCGTTAAAAGTTTATGAATGACGTGATAGTTTGTTGGATGAAAGCGTTAGGCGATTTCAGCACCTTATTAATACTATTAATAACATGAAAAAATTAAGTTAAACAAGTTAGAACACATATCAGTGAGGTCACATTCATGAAGATTCAAATGTGTAAA